TTATTATATAGTGCATTTATGGATCTCAAATTGTAAGACAATTCCATTTATAAATATATAAACTTATCTATTATTTCCTAACTGAAGGTTTTCATTTAATTTTCTTGTTTTATTGAAGTGTCTAAAACTTCTAATACATTGTTCAATAGAAGTGCTCAGAATAGATATCTTCACCTCAATTCCCAGGTTATAAGGATAGCATTAAGTCTTTCATTAATAAATTTGATGGTATTTAGTGTTAGTTTTTTTTTCTTCATACAGTTTTTTTTATCAGTAAGGAAGATTTGTTCTGGTTCTAGTTTGCTTAGAGTTCTGAATCAGTGACTGTTTATTTACTTCCAGTGTTCTTCCTGACCCTCTAGAAATAGCCAATAGTTTTCTCTTTGACTCTGTTAGCATGCTGAATCATGCAATTTATCTCTTAATGTTAAGTCAGCTTTGCATCTCTAGGATAAATCACAAAACGTTAATTATGTGTTCTCTTTGTTTTTTGCTGGATTTAGACCTTTCCATTACTCCTGTGCTCATTACAATATTGCTAAGGAGATTTATTTTCCTGTGATGTTCTTGGTAAGAGATCATTCTGACCTAATGAAATTAAACTGAAAGTGTTCCCTTTTCAACTTACTAGAAGACTAGAGGTGTAGGTTTGCATGATTTTTTTTCACTTAAATATTTGATAGGATTTGTCAGTCATGTCACCTGTATCCGCAGTTCTCAGTGTAGGAAGATTTCAGCTATGAGTTTCATTTGTTTCAATACATTGGGATATTCAGTTCCATTTGTTTTTTAATTAGGTTAGGTACTTATAATTGTTCAAAAGTTTTTTAATCTTATCACCAAATGACTTCTTTACTAAGGTATATTAATTTGTTCTCTGAAATTCATAATTAAAATAACAATTTAATTATACTTCCACTCTATAGTGACTCATTTATATCAGAGAATGAATTTAAACTTGTTCAAATATAATTTTGTGGCAGATGAAAACGATAATTTTAATTCTTTTACATTTTGACATAGAAATTCCAACTGCAGAAATTTATTCCTGAAAAATAATTGAGAGTGTATTTATAAATATCTAAGCATACTAATAGTATCTTTTAAAAACAAAATAAAACAAAAAACATGGAAAACCACAGAAGCTGACAAATAGAATGTTTACCAATGAAGAATAAAACATCAATATAATTGAACATTGCATAAAAGAAAATGGCGCAATAATACATTTTTTATGGAGCTGTGTCTTTTATGTGTTGTTAAGTGAGAAAGGAAAGGTTGTGCAACAGATTTTCACAGAACTTACTTTAAAGGAATATGAAGATCCATAGTTAGAAATTTTCTCTAAAAATTACATGGCAAGCTGGTTGGGCTTTAGCAATTTAAAAAAATTCAGGAAGGAAAATTATTCCCAATTTATCCCTTTAGGTTGCAATTGACATTTCAGAATGAATAGGCATACTTAAAATGAGAACCTAAACTCAGACAAATGTTTTATAACGCACGCACTTTCTGCTTTCTGCAGCACCAAACAGATTTCTGATTTGCATTTTGTCAGCTCTTCCTGGCTGTGAGCCTAGCTGTCTGCAGAGGCTTCCTTCTGCTCTCCCTACTTGGAAGTGGCCCAGCTGGGACTCAGCAACACACCGTGGAAAAAGTGATGGTGAGAACCTTGCTGGAGCACATGCTCATGTACATATATTTAGAAAAGGGAAAACCCAAGGCATTCTACAGAGTGTAAGTCAACTTGCTGGTAGAACTTCTCCACTGTAAGTCTGTAGGGTCGCAGTGCTAGCTGTGAGACCCAGAAGATAATAAATGTGCTACCGTCCAGCCTTGGCTAAGGTTCAGGTCCTGAGGAGAGGAAGGGGCATTGGCACAAGGAATAAATCTGACCGCCAGGTGAATTGGACTCAGGGTCCCCTAATGACTTGAGCTGTCTTTACACTTAACAGAGTTTTTCCTACCAGGGATACACGGACAGCTTTATTATTGCCTCCTATTTTTGACTTTTAAGAAATGCGTAATCATTATTATAAAGCCCCCCCATTCCTCCTCTTTACGCCTCCCCAAATGTACTTTCCCATGTCCTACATAACATTATTGTAGACATAAGAGTGCAGTATTTTTTGCAGGCTCCACTAAGTATCAGGTCAGACACAGTCTGCTCTCACAGCACTTAAGTCAGCTGGCAGCTGCTTGTGTGATTACAAAGTTAAAAAGTCATAGGCATGGGCACAATGCTTTAAGGACAACAATATTCAAACTCAAACAATTCCTTTCATGTCTGCAAGATATGCTTTTATGCGGCTCCCCTTTTCACAAGAGGGTCCCATGTCTCAGTCTCCGTGTAGAAGGCAGACTTCGACAAACATTCTTTTCCCATCTTCTTCCCTCAGTATAAGCTCCTGTGCATGGTAAAAGATGGGTCTTTCTATGCCATTTTTTACATTGTGTTTCCCCATTGAATAATACCAGATCCTACCATTGATTCTATACACTCGTCCAAACAAAGGGAAACTTACTCTCAGCAGTTGGCACTAAGTGTATTCCTGAGGTCTTCTCCCTATTCTGCGTATGCCTGCCTGACTCGCCTTTCCAGAACTGTGAGGCATGGCTAATGTTCCAAATGTCATTTTCTCATATGTACCTAACTATCTCTATTGAATCAGAAAAGCTCCCAGGATTAGGAGTTGTGGCCAGTAATTCTAGATAAAAGATTTAAGAAGCATCAGCCCCCTGCTGAATCTTAGAGGAAACTATTCTAGAAAGAACAGAATTTCCAGGGAAAATTGCAGATGTTGCATATGTGTGACTGACAAATAAGACTAAAAACTGCCCAAAAGAATCACCAATATAATGAGAGAGCAAAGAGCCTGCAAACTGCACGAATTTTGCAGATTCCTGTGCTATCTCATGGACTATTGGTCCTTGACAAGTGAGAGTCTGTGCAACAGCTTTCCTCAGGACAAGACACCCTTGGAAACAGACTCTCTGGCTGATCTGAGATAGGTTGCACAACTCTCAGCATAGATGGAGTATGCATCAGGTTTCACGTAGGATCTGAAGTCAAGTTAAGGCTTTCACTGAGCTTGAGATACAGGCATTGGGAAATACTAGCATATGTTTTCCAGGAAAATTACAGTGTCTCTGTGAGGATAGAGTTGATTTGGGTTCTGAATAACTTACGATCATGGGAAGAGCCTGAGATAATGAACTGAGAAGATGAATTTCTTAGAGACTGAGACACATTCCAGTGGGGAAGGCAACTTAGATTATGTCCCTGATCAACAAGACTTCAGGTTTCTTCGCTAAAAGACTTGGAAAAGTTCTACTCCTTAATTGATCAAAAACCCGAAGATAACTAAAACTTTTTTTCCCGATGATCCCAGATGGATTGCTGAGGGAACTCTCTGAGCTTGGGTTAATTAAGATACACCTCAGTGACTAAGTTCCCCTGGGAAGGAGAGAATGGCAGACAGAAAGACAAATCCTCAAGTCAGTACAGTACTTTTCTTGCTAGACTTCTTCCTAAGCTCCTGTGTAGATCCCACCGATCTCCTGACCACGAGTGGAGGTTCCAGCAGCTTGTATGGCTCAGCACTTGTCAGGCAGGAATTTGTTTCTGTTGAGTCCACAGAAGCAACATGAAGACCTTCTAAAGAGGTCAGTGATTTCTTAAAGTTCTGCCTCCGTGAGGGAGAAACGAGAGGAACTGGGGTGGGCAACCTGGGACTTGAATGTCTTGTGGAAGCTGAAGAGAATGGAGCTGTGGAGTGGGGGAGGGGAGCGGCAGAGTGAACTGGCTGAGGCCGAGTCCTCCACACAGGATGCTCTTTCAGCCCTCTGCTGCTCCTGTTCTGATCAGAGAGCTTCCTCTTGCTGTGTCTGTTCTCTTCATTTTCTGCTGGCACTCTAAAGGCTATGGAAGCAAAGCAGACATTGGTCCCTCCCAACCATCCTAGCCTTGAAGTCTGGGATTGTCCATTAGTAAACCAACCACAGAGAGATAGAGAGGGAGATTAAAGGGATGGCGAGGAGGAAGGACTGTGCTGATGTGAGGCAGGAGGGTGTGTAAGGGGATATTGCTGAACTAGCCTTGATCCAGACAAGTATTGCTTTAACCTATATCACCTACCCACTCATTCATCGGCTGAAAAGTTCCATGCTACCTACGTGGGTCAAAAATACATTATGTTTGTAATCTTAGAACACTGGTTTGAAGACGTTTTGCATAGAATTTGTATTCTAACAACATAAGTGAAAAATAGATAAAATTAAATTTCCTAGTCATCTTTTCTATATGGCACTCCTAGTGAACTAATTATTTTGTATTCTATTTACTTCCTGTGTGTGGTTTAACACATATGTTCCCCTTGAATGTAAATTCCACAGGGCAGCAATATTCCACTTGTCCTCTCCACAGTTATATTGTTTGATATTAAAGGAGAGGAATAGACAATTAGACACATAGGATCATGTACTACGTACTATGAAGAAACGTGGAGTTCACTAATGAGCATGCTTTCTTCTTTGGGGAAGGGTGATTGGAAAGAAGCTTTTGAGGAGGTGACAGTTAGAAGATAAAAGAAATAAGGAACAGAGAACCAGGTATCAGAGCTTTTGATATTTTGGCATCTTATCTGTACCAGCTATCATCTTTCATTATTTCCAACGCTTCTGAGAGAAAAACTAGGTTAGAAAAGAATGACTCAGCTTTGAGAAATCATCACCATCCCAGGGTTTTCATGTGGAGATATTGATGGTCTATACTGTTTTAAAATCTGAGGATGGCAAGAACACTGGCCATTGTTCTGTAGGCCTCTGGGTTGCTCTGTGCGATCCTGTAAAGAACTTGTACTCAACGTTCTATGCTTTAACCTTTCTCTGGAACGCTGTTGTCTTCTGGTACAGTTAATCCAGGAGGAAGCACAACCCATGACCAGAAGAGTCTGTTTGATACAGATCGCAATCTTGGAAACAAAAGTCACAATCTAGTGATGGTCAATCTCTCCAGTGCCACCGAATTCTGCCTTCTAGGCTTCCCTGGATCCCAGGAACTACACCACATTCTTTTTGCCATATTCTTTTTCTTCTACTCAGTGACACTGGTGGGAAACATGATCATCATCGGGATTGTCTGCGTTGATAGACGTCTACAGTCCCCCATGTATTTCTTCCTCGCCCACCTTTCTCTTCTGGAAATCCTGGTAACAACTACAATTGTTCCCATGATGCTTTGGGGACTGTTGCTTCCTGGAACCCAGACAATATCTCTGGCTGTATGTGTTGCCCAACTTTTCCTTTACCTTTCTTTAGGGACCACCGAGTTTGCAGTGCTTGGAGCGATGGCTGTGGACCGTTACGTGGCGGTCTGCAACCCTTTGAGGTACAGTGCCATCATGAACAGCCGCACTTGCATCTGGGTGGTGGTTGTGTCCTGGGTGTTTGGCTTCCTTTCTGAAATCTGGCCGGTCTATGCCACGTTCCAGTTTACTTTCTGCAAATCAAATCTGTTAGATCACTTTTACTGTGACCGAGGTCAGTTGCTCAAGCTGTCTTGTAATGACACTCTTCTCACAGAGTTCGTTCTTTTCTTAATGGCTGTCTTCATTATTATTGGATCCCTGATCCCCACCATTGTCTCCTACACCTATATCATCTCCACCATCCTCAAGATTCCCTCAGCTTCTGGCCGGAAGAAAGCCTTCTCCACCTGTGCCTCCCACTTCACTTTTGTTGTGATTGGCTATGGCAGCTGCTTTTTCCTGTACGTGAAACCCAAGCAAACACAGGCAGCCAAGTACAACAGGGTGGCTTCATTACTGGTTTCCGTGGTAACCCCTTTCCTGAACCCCTTCATCTTCACTCTTCGGAATGATAAAGTCAAAGAGGCCCTCAGAGATGGAGTAAAGCGTTGCTATCTGCTCTTCAGAGGTTAGTTCATCCCTTTATTACTCTTACGTGGCATATCCCAGAAAATCTCAACTTCTCTACTGCATTAAAGTTGCTGTAAAATCTGAATCCTGTGCACAAATTGCAGTCATGTCATGGAAGACCTACTTCCAAACCCCTTCCCAAGGCATGTCAATCATATGAATCTCCTTTTATGCTGACTAGAACCCTGCAGAGGCTGTGTCTTCCTCTTTCTACTGTTGAACACAAGGGTGGATGTTCTTGAAGACACTGGAGGAGCTTGAGAAAGAAAACAGTTTCATAAACATCCTATAAGACCAATTACTCATGACCCAGCTCCGAAGATGTTTAGAGGAGAAGGGAAATGGTAAGAAAGATAGGGTGTGAGAGGCATCATTAACAGCATACAAAGAAAAACACGTGCACTCTGGTCCTTCATTAACTCGGCCAAGACATTCTCTGTATTTTAGTGCAATTACTCAACAAGATGTCCATCTACATTTTAAATGTCTTCGAGTTCTCTTTCTATATCCAGATCATAGTACAATTGTCTTGGCTCAATTGTTACGTAATTATGAATGGAGCCTGGACCTCTGGCACCTCATTTCCCCATCAGTCCTGTCTAGATGTCAGTCCCTGTGCTTTCCCTCGAGTATGATGACCCTGTTTCTTCGCATTGAGGAATGAGGATCACACTGGAAATCGTGTCATTTAGAAGTACCGCACATGAAATGAAATATTTACTAGAGGAGCTCAACATCAGTATATTTCTACTGACAGAGGGAAAAATGAATAAACTTGAATATTTATCAAAAGGAATCATGCAATTCAAAGAACAAAGACTAAAACATGAATTCTAAAAATATATTGACTTCTGTGGATGTGTAGATTAATGTTTCTTTCTCTCTTTCCTACTAACTTAGGAAATGTCTCAATTACCTGTTTCTGCATTCTCCTGTAAGCACTGCTTCCTTCAGTTCTTGAATGTGCCTAAGTTGAGTATTATTGTGACGTACTGTCTCTCACACAGGCAAGTTTCTGTAATCTCCTATTGGGCATGGGTCATTCTTTACTGCTTCTTTACATGTGCTGTTATCCTTGGTTGAAATGTAGGCATTTTAGACGTTAGATGACTTATTTTGGGTACCGGATCCACTATTAACAGTTTGATTGCAATTTTCTTGTCAATTTGCTTAATGTTCAGGATGAACCGTTTTGGTGAGATGTTTCTCTGACCATATGTGCGCTACAGAAAGACTCCTCGAAGGAAATAGGCTTTGATATCCATGCAGTTATCCTGAGGTGATGGTGACTTTATCAGGTCTTTTTTTTTTAAGTCATTGTGATCACATCCAGCTGTTAGGCTCTGCTAACTATCAGCTGGTTGTTCATTTGGAATCCTCTGTCTGGTCACTTACTCCAACTCAATTTGTAAACTAGACTTTTCTGGAATTAGGTATCAAAATCATCTATTCTCCCCCGGGCAGCCTTTTTGTGAAATTATGAAATTTAAAATCACTGGGTGCAACCTTTCCACATCCCCTAGCCAAGCAATTGTACTCAGGCCATTCATAGCTTCACGTTCCGTGGGGAATTTTCCTTGACTGGGAAGGAGCCATCTCATGAAGGAAGCTTATATTTGACTCCTACCCAGTCCAGAACAAGTGATTGACATAAAGACAAAAAGTTGTTTCGTTTGTTTCAACTGAAGACCACATCATTAGAATAACAATATTTTTTCAGTGTGTCTATGTGGTTAATCCCTCAACCTTCCAGTCACTATTTCAATATTCTAAGACAATGTAGTCTTGAACTAAAATAGTAGCCTGGATTAGTTTCCTGTCATGATTCTTACTTTACCAGAGAGTACTCTCATAACAAATTACTTCTTCAGGCATGCAGGCATCAGCTTGTATTCCTAGAAAACTGTCCAAGTCATCTGATATTAGCAAAGGATCCCAAACAGAACAGGGAATCAGGAGGTGGACACGTATTCTCTGGCCAGATGTCAATGAACATGCATCTTTGGAGGTATTGACAGACCTTATTAGACCATGAAGTACATAAAGTTAAATTTTCTTCTTCTTGGTGGGCTAGTATTTTAGAAATTCAAGGACATGGGAACTGTAAGAACTATAAAGCTTGGTAGACACTGCTAAGTGGCATTATTGGGGGAGATTGAACACTAGACTCAGTCTATTTCCCGGAATATAGCAGAGTTAAGAGTTTATTAGTTCATTTTCTATTGCTGTAACAAAATACCCAAAGCTGGGTACTTATAAAGATGGGAAATTCCATTTTCTCCCTGTTCTGGAGTTCTAAGTGTATGACACCCAGCATTTTCTGAGCTCCAGTTTCCAGGATGGTGTGGTGGGGGCTATCCCAATGAAGAGAGTGAAAGCAGGAGAGGTCTCATGGCAAAACAGGAAGCAGGATGAAAGCTAAAGCAACCTAGAAAACTTTATATATATGGCCCTAGATGGTCTAAAACTCTTAGCAATCCTCCTGATTCAGCTTTATGGATTACCTGATCATAAACTTTGTATTCTAATGCAAACCATTGCACTCAAGGTGACAACCATCAATCATCTGAGGGCAGTGACATCATTATCCTCTAGTCTTTGTGCGGAGATTTCTGTGATGATGCAATTAAAAGCTATGGATATCAACAATCCCTTGTGTGCTGCTTACCTTTCTGTTGCTGTGATGAGACACTATGACCAAGGCAACTTATACAAGAAGGACTTTATTTAGGGATTATGCTTTCAGAGTGTGAGTCCATGACGACCTTTATGGTGGGGATCATGAGAGCAGGTAGGCTGGCATGGCATTGGAGCAGTAGCTGAGAGCTTGCATCTCAACCCACAAGCATGAGACAGAGAGAGAGAGAGAGAGAGAGAGAGAGAGAGAGAGAGAGAGAGAGAGAGAGAGAGAGAGAGAGAGAGAGAGAAGTGGCACTATTTGGAGCTAACTGGGAAATGTGTGGGCTAAGCTCACCTCCAGTGATGCACCTCCTCTAATAGGGCCAAGCAAACAGTTCTTCTGACCTTCACAAACAGTCCAGCCAACTGGAAACCAAGCATTTAATTAAATGGGTCTATGTGGGCCATTGTCATTCAAATATCTGCACTTGGTCTGAAACAATGACCTGGTCTCCTGTGGAGAGACACAGTCCCTTCTCTTACCTGAGGAATATACACTACTCAAGTGATCTCTTCCCAGGTGAGTCTAACCAGTCTCAAGCTGACAATGAAAACTAACTATCACAAATGGAATTATGGGATATTTACAGGACAGTATGACAAAAGCACCGTCAATGGGCTCCTTGGTAGGGAATATAGAAGTGCTCATGTATAGCCATCTCACACATTGCCTTAGAAGACAGTACTTGTCTTCCTCATAATCTGATTCTATCATATCTTCTTCTGAAAGGATGGCAATAGATCTAACCCTCAACATAGACTTGAAAGCTGAGAATACCAGTGAACTGGAGACATTATGCACTCACTAACGCTGCGGAAAGCCTGGCCTGGCATGCACCAGAGAAAGTATGACTGGAGGGGATTCAGAGAGCAGGCCATCAGGGGAGTGCTTGGAATATGAAGCTGGGCAAAAGAAAAGTGCCGATTTGGAGGAATTCCTCCATCATGGAGAACTTAACACTTTAGCCAACGATCTAGAAATCTGAGGCTAATATATGCCATCTGTTGATGCCAAAAGTTTTCAAAGAGTAATAACCTTCATTAAAGCAATAGAACTACCAAATATACCTTGTGGGGAAACGATGGAAGGGGGAACTAGATGGCGGAGAGAGTGGAAAAGCCATAATTGATCTACTACATTAGACAGAAAAATCCTACCAGCTGATCCCGTTCCTCAGAGGAGTGCAGAGCACTCTATTAAGTAAGGTCATTTTCAGAAGTGCTATTACAGAGGATATTCCTTGGGGTGGTTTGTTAGGAGACACTGTTCCAGAGCTGGGCTCTCTAGTAGCAGGACACACACAGCTGGCCACAACAGCAGAGGACAGATGAATTAACCGTCAGAGGGAAAACATGCTCACCTATCTTACTAGGCAGAATGGTTGAAGTATCAGGAAGAAGTAATATGAACGATGATCTTACGAGACAGGTGATAGAACATGACGTATATGGGTTAGATACTCAAAAGAGGACTGCTTAGGATATCTAATCGAAGGCATTGTCTAAATGCAGTCACTATTCTAATGGAGAGCCGTGGTCCTTCTCGCAGGCTCCAGGTGTGAACCAGTCATTAGAGCTATCGCTCATCAGATGGTCTTGGCTGGAGGAAGCTGCGGTAGTCAAATGGAAAGAAGGACTCTGTGACACAAAGAGAAAAGATCCAGCGAAAGTTCCTTCATCCTGCCCCAAGCGACCCTTAGCCATCTTTACAGATAGCCACAATTATAAACCGGGTGTTCAAGTTTTATCTCTGTGGCTGTGATGAAATTATCCTGCCCCCCTCAAAAAACAACCACAACCCCCCAAAACAAATTAGAGGTTAAAAGAGTTTATTTCATCTTACTCCATATTACAGACCATCTCTGTTGTTAAGTCAAGTCAGGGATTTCAAACGGGCATCAGATCAAAGGCACAGTCAAGAGCGAAGAAGAATGTACAGATGTGCACTTGCTTGGTTGTGCTCAATTAGAGTTTTCCACTCTTAAGCAGCCCAGGACCTCCCGTCTAGGGAATGGTGCCACCCGCAGTGACCTGAGTCTTCCCACAGCAATGAACTCCATTAAGACAATACCCTACCTGCAGACCAACCCAATGTAGACAATTTCTCGTTGAGGCTCTCTTCTAAAACTGATTTTAGTTTTTGTTTTCAAGTTGATAATTAAAGCTAGGCATTGCATGAGGGAAACTCTGAGATGTATAGGTCTGTAACATGCAAGCACTGTCAATAAACTCCTTAGAGAAGATACAGACTGGAATACTCAGCGCTGTCTCACACGGGTTCACCTGGATCCTCTCTCTCCCTTTTCTTCTGCCTTTACTCACTT